TCTGCAACAATGCCTGATTGGGTACATAAAGCAACAAAAAAATATATGCCAAAAGATTTTATTGTGGTAGATTTAGTTAAAGGCAATACACAAAAAACATCGGCAAATGTTGAAGTAAATTTTCTTTTCAATTGAAAGTATTTAATATGTGGTTTTCTTTTTGTTAATTAGCATTTAGCTGTATCATGTACTTATCAAGATCGTGCTGGTATTATTGATTTTCTTGTTCAAATATATTCAAGTAGTAGTTTTGATGGACGTGCAATTGGTTTTTGTGAAACAAAAAAAGAAGCTGATGAACTTTCAGTTAGTCATGATATTAAAGCAAAAGCACACGTACTTCATGGTGATATTCCCCAAGATAAACGTGAACTTGTTCTGAAAGTTTGTTGAAAAAATTTCTTTTTAAAGTATAAAAGAATTTTGTTTTTTTATTGGATTAGAAATTTCGTGAAGGAAAATATCGTTTATTAATTACGACTGATGTTGTTGCGGGTGGTCTTGATATTCCAGAAGTTGATCTTGTTATTGTAACAGCTCCACCAAAAGTAAACAATAAAATTATTAAAGAAAACTAAAAATTAAATTAATTATATTAGGATGTTGAGTCATATATTCATCGATCAGGTCGTACAGATCGAGCAGGTGCTCAAGGCAAATGTATTTGTCTATATAAATCCAATCAAACGCGTGATCTTCGGCGACTAGAAGTTGAAGCAATATGTAAAAAAAAACTTTTTTATTATATATTCTATTTTGATGATTTAGAGTATTAAATTTACACGTATTGAACCACCAAGACCAGAAGATGTACCTGATGCATCATCTGCTGATGCAGCAAAGTAAGATTCAAATAATTATTTCTTTTTTTTTTTTGTATTTCTATCTTTTTTCTAGAGCTCTTGATAGTGTAACTGATGCAGCGAAAGCACATTTTCGTCAAGCAGCTAAAAAAATTCTTGAAACACGTGATGCAGTTGATGCTTTATCCGCTGCATTAGCTTGTATATCTGGTACAACAAATATTGTTCCTCGATCTTCATTGACAAAAAAAGAAGTACGATAAAAAAATTTTTTATAATATTTTTTTATCTGATTTATTATGTAGAATTATACAACATATATGTTAACAGTTACAGATGAATTCAAAGGTCCAGGATTAGTATTTACTATGTTAAAACAAAATGTTTTGGAGAAGATTTTGATGCTAAAGGAACGTGTTCACAAGTTGCATTTACAAAAGATTATCGAGTATGTTTAATAAATTGAAAGATTTATATAATATATTTTAAATTCGAGTGCTGTTTTCGATATACTAAGTGAACTTGATGAACAATTACAAAGTTATTGGAAAGATAGTCCAAGAATTCAAATGAAACCTATTAAAGAATTACCACAACTTGATGAATCAACTAGAAGTGGTAATAGAGGATTTTCACGTTGTAGTAATGGACCAGTACGTAGTGGAAGCTATACTGGAAATCGAAATTCTGAACGATTGAGTAAGAATAATCGATTTTATTTATTATTTTAATCAATTTGTTTTATTTTTTAGATGCTTGTTTTAAATGTAAGTATTTTCAATTTTTTTCTATGAAGTTAAGTAAATTATTTTAGGTCAAAAAGAAGGTCATAAATCTTTTGAATGTCTAGAAACAAAAAAATCTAGTGGTGGTCGTGAACAATCAAGTCAGTTTTTAATTAATGATAGAATGTAAAGAATAATAAAAACTATATAATTTTAGATGATGGTTGTTTCAATTGTGGTAAAACTTGTCATAAATCTTTTGATTGTTCAAAACCGAAAAAAGGACGATCATCAGCAAATATCAGTAATCGTGGTATTAAACGTAGTTTCACTGGTAATCAGACTAATGGACATAGTATAGGTGAAACAAGTAGAAAAAAAAATAAAATTTAATGACGACGATGAATATTGATTAAACAAATTGAATATCAATTTGTTTTCGTTTCACTTTTCTTGTTTTATGTTTTTTTTTTGCAATAACGTTGTTGTTATTGTTTTTTTGTTTTCTCTTGATGAACATCATATTTTTGTTATGATGTTTGAAATTTTGTTGTTTCATCAAAATAAGAATAAAAAAAAAACATAATGAATAGGTCATCTATTATTTTAACCTCAAGATGACAATTCATATATTGAAATTAGTTCGATTTCAACAAGAGAAATTCGGTTGAAACATACAACTGAATGCCACAATAGTCTGTTGTATATGTTGTCAAATAACTTATTACATATTTTACAATGGTTTATTTGAATATCATTCTTTCCTTATTCGTATGTTTTTTCTTTCTCATTTTTAAGCAAAATTACTAATAGATTATAAACATTTCTATCCTTATTATTCAATTGATCTAATCAATTTACTTCGTTGTCTGTCTATTTCGCGTTAAATACTCTGGTACTATAATTTGCAACTTCAGATTATACATACGTTCTGGTGTCTTTGTATATACCACTGAGATCGACTAACAATAGACTTTATCATCATATATTATTACAAAACAATCTGAAGGATCATGTAATGAAACGATATCAGATAACTCTGATGACAGATGATTACAAATTTTGAAGAACACTACTTTTTCATAGTTTTTGGATTTCATTATTCTTTCAAAGACACAATACTTTGATCAAAATTGTTTCAATCTAGATATGTTGTACTCTTCAAAGACTATTTATCATCACATTATTAGCATTCAATGCTCAGCTATCATATATTTGGAAGGAGTAAACAAGATGCATTCATTTCCTCTACGCAATTCGTTATAAAATATTTTGATCTACATCGATTTAGATTTAATCAACCATTTGTTTAAACATATCTATTCCTTGAAATGGCTCTTTAGATTTCAATATTCTCTGCAATTTTTATTTACATAATGATCAGACAATCAATTTTTCATCCATATCGGTTATTTACAAATCTATATCATCGTCTACTTAGATAAGTAACATTCATTGACTTCTAATTCACTACTCTTAGAACGTATCCAATAGTATTTGAAAATATTTGAAACATTTCATTTGTATGGAATAACATCTCGATACAAACATAGTCTTAACATTTTATTTATTTATTTTTCAGAATATTGATGGATAACATATTTTTGCAAAAGGAAAATATTCTTTTAAAGCAGAATTTGAATGATATCTTTCACCATATAAACATAAGTTATTTATTTTGGCACAATTAATTCGTGTAGCATCTCTTTTGAAATTGTGTGTTACTCGTTGTAAAGATTCATATTTGATATGAAGAACAACATTATTCCGAAAATATGTTTTAGTATCAAATAGAAATTGTTCTATATAATCATCGTGAACATGAATAATACCAAGATTATTAAGAAATGGATATTCAATAACGGATAAATTTTGATTATTATTGTTTGATTCGTAAGATTGTTTATGATTTTGTGGTTTTTGATTAGTCAAATTTAATGTTTCCATAAATGGAAATGATTTCTGAATTCGAAGAAAAAATTCATGATCAAAAGGATGTTCATCATATAATGATACAACACGAACATATGTAAATAATCGATTTGGAAAATAATTTGTAATATCACTATAATATGGCATAAAAGATGGATAGGAATAAATATGATATTGACTTTGTTTTGCTTCTGAAAAATAATCAACATAAGAAATTATGTTATTATTTGCAAATTCAATAAATCTGTATTGAATATCTTCTATTGATGGCAAATCCATTCCACTATAAATATTCATAATTGAGCGAATATAAAATCTAAATTGATTTAATCGTGGCATACGATTAATAATATTTTTCTTCAAATCGTTTTCATCAATAAATGTTTTATCAACTTTTACCGGAATATACAAATCGAGTTCTTCTAAATTTAACATTCGATATAGAAGTGGTAGGATTAACCCATTATAACAATTATAATCATTATTATAGTAACATGCTTCACCTTTACAGGAGAGATAAAAACACTTTAGATTTGGTAAATCATCCTAAAAAGCAAAATTTCTTTCATTATTTGACAAACAATATTGACATTTTCTTGCAAAACTAACTTGATTTTTAATTTCTTCCGACGGATTGACATCCACTATATCAACATAGAGCGTATGAAGTTGATTAAAACGACCATCGAGAAGATAAAGGCAATCATCAATAGTGCATATTCTAATATTCAATTTTAAAAGAGTTGAAGAACGAAAAGTAGAAAAAAATCCATCATTAAAATATAATGGGATACGATTTATAAACGATGATTCATATAATGTTAAATCCATTAGATTGGTGAAAGCATTCACAATATAATTGCATACTTTTATCATTGAAAATACTGTCTCCTTGTTGTCGTCAATTGTAACAAAAAGTGTTGTAATCTGATTTTTGAGAATATTCGATGAAATCATTTCATCTAAACTTATATATAATATTAGAAAGAAATTCAATCTATGCAAATAATATCAATATATTCAAAGATATGGTTATCTATATCAGTAAATTTGACAAGTCAATTATTTGTTTAGAATAATAAAATTCAATCGACATTTCTTACCGTTAAAAAGACATTGCATTGACTTTTGATCAATATTATTAAGGCTGAGAGTATCTAAATTAGGATAATTGGCAGCACATAAAACATATTTCATAGATGATGATTCAAGATGAAGCCATTTGATTTTATCATGAATTTTAGGTAAAATTTGTGAACAAAATCGATTGAGCATCATATCAGAAGACAAAAGATCGATAAAAACATGTGGCAACCGTTTGACAAAATTCAAATGACTTGTAAAAATTCGATCCTGAATAACTTTATTTATTCGTTGATTGACACCTTCTAATGAATAAAGTACATCAATCTTGTCCAGTTTTTGGAAAATATTAATAAGAATTTCATCAGGTAAATCACTCAATCCAATGCATGATTGTTCCATGTTTGTTTTCACTTATCTTTTTTTTGTCAACTTATGAACATCAATATTTATATGCGCATATATTCGTCTGTTCTATTTGACCGATATCGTGCATAGAAACAAGAATAATTTTTTTTATAGTCAGAATTAACAATGAATTAATGTATGATGGAGAGAATAAAATTTCTATTTTTCTTTTTCTTAAGCATCAATCAGACTAAAAAAATGAATTAAGTTAAAGTTGAATTAAGCAATATGATTGATTCAATAAGAATTACTCGTTATTTTTCTCGGTCGAGATAGGTCGCATTCTATCTTGTCGGTTACGAACATTTTCTTTGTTAAACTCGTCGATTATATTTTTTATTTATTAATTGATTTTACACCCAATTTTCAAATTATTTTTGGAATT